GAATTTAAGAGAATTCAAAAGCCATTGGCTTGAAGCAACGGGGTCAGCAACCTTTCTTCTGTAAAGACTCAGATAGTAAATATTTCAGGCTTTGGGGGTCGTGTATTTTCTGTTACAACTACTGAACCCGGCCATTGTAGCACAAAACCATAGCTAATCCAACTCTCTGTATGGATCATGGAATTTGAATTCCATATCATTTTCACATGTCATGAAATACTTTTTTTATATTTCTTTTCTCAGCCATTTAAAAATCTAAAAACCATTCTTAACTCATGGGCAGTGCAAGAACAGAGGGAGGCCTGGTTTGGATTGAGGGCCTAAGTTTGCTAACCCCTAAAACAGATGGTCCCCAAAGGCAGTCCCAGTTCTCTTGCTGAGGAACCAGACTAACCTTATGAGATGCCCATTTTCTCTCTCTCTTTTTTTTTCTTTTTTTTTAGCTGAGCCATCCTGCCATCTGTTGGCAGCTCAGTGGTAGCTCAGCTCGGGCCGGGACTCGAACTGCTGTTGCTCAGAGATCACAGTCTTAGAGCGAGCTCTTAACCAACTGAGCCACTCGGCCGGCCCTGAGATGCCCATTTTTTGACCCTCCCAGGATGCACTCCTTTGATCTGCATGCCCGTGGCAGGGCGCACGATCTAGTGTAGACCCAGGCTGTATGCCTGCTGTGTGGCACTAGAGGGCCCCACCCAATAGACCTTGGAGGTTTTTTCCTGTGGAATGTAGACTAGATCTTCAAACTATTTGTCACTGCCACAGCCCTCAGGCTGGAATTGTCCACGATTCCCAGGGGGGTGGTCATAGAATCAGACTTTTAGGTTAAAACCTTGAGAAAATTAAATGCAGCTTCTCCTGAGAAGAAAGCCTGAGCACCTTTCCTTCAGGGAAACAGAATGAATGCTTTGAAAAATATCACCACCTCTTCCTCATCACCTGCCTTACTACCAACAAATGATTCAAAGCTGCAGAGAATATAAAGCAGTAGGTAGGAAAATATATAATTCCCTGAGTAATTCTCCACTGGTCATGTTTCATTCCTCCCAGCCTACTTTATGAAGAGGAACTGCCCTTTAAGGAGTCAATAGGCCTAAGTTATTATTCTAGAAGAGGGCCCGCAGTAAGACACTGCCTGGTGAGAAGGCACGAGTCTTGAGTTATCCTGCAGACTCTGAAATGCTCAGGCCAGCTCAGCCGTGTTATTCATTTGGGACCATAAAAAACTTACTCTGATTGTGATAAGCTCTGGATACTTATGAAGACTTATGTAAACTAGCCCCCAAAGACCCGAAAAATAATTGAGATGAAGCTATGCTTCCTAATTGTTGATTAGAGCCTAAAGCCTGAATGAAACAGCCTCCACATCCCTGCACAGTGGAGATGGCAGCAGTGACTCTATCTCCAACACCATTCCAAGTCCATCTCTCAGTGTGGACTACAGAGAACAAGGCTCAGGCTATCAGATGGAAGCCACAAGAAAGCACAGGGCAATTCCTAACTGGCAGAACATTCTAATAATGAAAGCTCCTGAACAATAGAATGATTATTTCCTGCTACTCATCAGAAAATGATAGCTATATGTTGGGGATGTTGTAGCTATCACCACTGGGTGACAAGGTGCAATAACGCTTCCTGGCACATCCTACTGTAAGAGCCAGGGTCCATCCGAGTATGAGTCCACTTGACACTGGCTGGATTCCAGCTTCCAGGCATCTAGGCAGTGTGTATTAAGTTTCTTTTTCTAATCCTTCCAAAAATTCTCCAGAGTAGCTATTATCGTGAGAAAATTGAGACGCAAAGAGTTTTATTCTCTAGTTCAAGAGAGCACACTCATTAGAAAATCTTGTATTTCTACTCAGGTCTGCCTGGCTCTCAAGCCTTTGCTCTTAAACCCATGTTGCTTCAAGTAAAGGCTTTATTTCCATAGAAACTTCTGTAATAATATTTCAATCCCTCATTTTTTTTTCCTCTTCAAAATCACCTAAGCATTCCACTATGCGAAGTGGCAAGGCTTATGGAGAGTAATCCTATGATTTTATGGTTACAACCCACATGGGGCCTATCACATCATAGTGCCCTAGAATGTCCCAGTTGCAAAGATCCCCTGAGGCCCCCATATTTAGCTTGAGGCCCAGAGATTTAGGCCAGACAAGACCTAAGCACAACTCCCCTTCCTTCTCCAGTACCTTCACAGCCTTCTTTTTGTTTATTCTATCTCATCTGCCCCAAATTTTATTTGCACTTTTATAGGATCATCTCTTCAAGGCAATGATGTGGTTTTGTTGACAAAGCTTTCTGGACTGTTTTACTTCTTAATACTAAAGCAATTATAAGTCATAGTAAAAATAAAAACAGAGCGTTTTCACACAAACACAGACATTGTGAGCTACTAGATCCTGTTCACAAACATCTGAAGTCACTCAGGATCCTGTCTACTTTGTTCTGTTTTCATCCAACTGAAAAGTAGAAAAACAATTGTTTTTTTAAGGTTACACACACAAGCATACATTTATTTGAACATAATTATTTTACATTTTGGGATAGCCAGTGTGTGATTAATTTGGAATTACAACCTCATGAAAAGAGAATACCATTTTTCTGCTGAGACCACCTTAACTGCAGTGAGTGTGAATGGTACTGCTATAATAATTAAATCCAAATCTTCAACTTTCCCTAGAGTAAGGGCCAGCATTAGCTATGGATGGGAATGCAAACGAGTACATGTATATTCAATAATAAAGCTTAATAGGTCGGGGAAAGAGTGGAATGAAATGAATGCCTAGCACTTCTAGAGATGACTAATGGTAGTTTGTCCTTTATTAACAACCAAATCCATACCAAGCTTATTGAACTGGTGGTGTTTAATGTCAATCACTATTTCCAGAATTGTACAGTGGAGGGCCTTTAATTTCCATGTTAAAATCATACAGAGTTGATTGAAGATTAAGATAACTGCTGAGTTCAGGTCTTTGAACTCTGGCTCTGGACGTGCTAATTCTACCTAAAGGAGAGTAGCCTGAAGACCCCAAGCCTATTTCTGGATCCAGCTTTAAGACTCCATGAGACATTTCCCAACTCATCATAGCTCACCTTCAGATTGCTCAGTCAATTTCAATGAGAACAAAGTCTTGTGAAGACTTTGCTTGTGATTACTTGTTAAGAGTATTAATGATATACACTATTTCTACCTGTTATGAGATATGTCCAAACTAACAATGACACCATGCATTAGTTTTGTGTTTTCATGAAGAATTTCACATGCAAGAGTTTAATTAGTACCCCATTTAACAGATGAGACACACAGATGAGAGTCAGAGGCACTAAATGTCTTACCCAAGATATCAGAGTTTATGACCAGTCAGCAGTTGAATAAAAATATTTTGACTCCATGTCAATATGTTTTCTTTTACCAATTTATCTTTTTTTTTTTAAGCTGAGCCATCTTGCCACCTGTTGGCAGCTCAGCGGCAGCTCAGCTTGGGCCGGGACTCGAACCGCTGGTGCTCAGAGCTCAAACTCTTGAGCGAGCTCTTAACCAACTGAGCCACTCGGCCGGCCCTTCAATATGTTTTCTTTTGTTTTGTGTGGTTTTTTTTGTTTTTTTTTTTGGTCGTTGTTGCTGTTCACTTTATTTAATACACTATCCTTTGTAAATTATACCATCTAGGAAAACATTATATATTCTCAGGTTCTGGCGGAAGATCGTATGGGTTTCCTACATGCATGATCATGAATAAGCTCCTGAACCTCTCTAAGCCTCAGTGTTTCCATCTAGAAAATGAAGCTAATAACAGCACCTCCTTCATAGGGACCAAATTGCATTTTGCTGATCAAATACTTAGCACTTTCCCTGATACAGACATAGATATTCCAAATGATAGGACTCATTTTTCATTTATTTTGCTAAACACTTAGATGTAAATTAACACATAGCCGTCGCCTACCCGTATTCACACACACACACACACACACACACACACACACACACACACACATGGAAAATAAAGCCCTTTATGACCAGCAAGAAAGAGCAAAGAATGCTCAAAATATTGTAATCAGTCCAGAGAGGCTGGAGCTGCCCCCATTTGAAGCCTGGGGACAAGGTCTAAAGTTGCATTTACTAAACAAAAATATTAACACCGATTGATCTTTGAAGGTTGTGTATCCGGAATTTTAAAATAATAAGCACACTTCCCTCTGTAGCTCAAATTTGGAGATAGGGCCAGTGGCACTGGAGTTAATATCCCTGTAGAAACAAAAGGCTCTCTGTGCTCGATAAACAATTTTGAAGGTGCTAGTTTGTCACCAAAATTCAGACCACTCATATTTTTCAGGTACCTTGCCTTAGGAGAGAAAGATTTCTTATCCACATCATGGGTTTACATCTCTTGGATCCAATTTTATAGGAAAAGATCAGTCATATATCAAAAGGTTAATGACTAGCCATTTCTCACCCAACTATTTTGTTGCCACTGAGCTGCCACAGTGCAGAGAGCACTGAAAGGTAGTGGAAGCTCGCTGGGCCTTTTGACTCTGTCATCCAGAGAGCCCCAGCAGGCTTTCACAACAGCATCTGGAGCTAGGGACTGTTTTCATACCCCTATTCTTTCATGGGAGACTCAGAGCATCTTTTCCTGTAGAGATCCAATGCCACGTCCCACCTCCACAGTGATTGATCAGTGCATTTATTATGCTTTCAGTAGTAAAAATATATAGACTCCAGTCATCTCTGGAGATGCTGAAATAGTTCTTTTTTTCCCCCTCTTGATTTAAGGGAAGGTAGAGAGTGGAGATGTGTACAGAGTATGACATAAATATAAGAGCACAAATATCTAATTAGCTGAAAGAATCTTGGTTCATTCTGCACCTTTGACAGAATTGCAGCTGTCAGATTGTAGCTCCAATATTTTATCTGCGTTGCAAGATATATCTGAAGATGATTTAGCAAAGACACTTTCTAACGAAAACACCACTCTTGTTTTTTTTTTCTTTTTTTGCAGGATGCTTGAGGATGACCTGAAGCTGAGCAGTGATGAAGATGACCTTGAACCTGTGAAGACGTTGACCATTCAGTGCACTGCCACTGAACTTTACCAGGTAGGAACAGCTCAGGGCTTGATTTGGGACCTAAAGGGAGGGAACAAAAGGAGCTGGGATGGTTTGGCCATCCATGACCTTACCTCCTGCTTCATCTCTGGGCTTTGGAGAGAGGGAAATAAGCCAAGATAGACATAGTGTTGTGGAACAGGTCAAGACAGCTCACACTTTCATGAAAACTATGGTAAGGATACACTGAGCCCTTGAAAATTGCTTTCACCTTCTCCCTCTGTTTCCTCCTTGTCGTACACCATACTGATCATCAGTAAGCAATTGAGATTCTTTCCCTTTCTTGGACTAAGTATTGTCTTGAGTGAGGTGTAATTTTCCTTGAGTGACTCCAGTGTGCGGCTTGGAGCCCACACTCCTTCATTTGTTAAAATATGAATTTTTACTCCTCCAGTCACCTGTCCCGGGTCCACCACTTCAGAACACAGCTGAGAATCAGTACTCAGCATCTTGCAGCTTACATGGACCTTCAGGCAAAGGCATTTGGCCAGTTTGCTGCTGCCCTGTCTTATTTCATTGTGCATTACAAGCATTCATAGTAGTTACCACTAGATTATGTTTTCTGCATCTACAATGAGACTGGATTCTTGATTTGCCAAGGCCAAGTATCATGTATGAACCATGAGAATGGCAATGTAGTGTGTGGTGTCAATGATGCCTGGGGTGTTTTCTCTGTGACAGAGAACTGTCTTTCATGTGGGGTCCTTCTGGGTGTGCTTATATCCTCAAATAAGGAACACAGAAAGATTGCCTTTTTTTTTTTTTAAAGCCAGTGCCTGACCAAATTCTTTCTACAGTGAAGTCTGCTAAGTTATAAAACTGAAACCAAACTGTTGTAAGGAATGCTTGTGCACTGGTATTTCAAGATACCAGTTAACAAATATGGAATTCTACATCACGAAATATTTTGTGAGGAGACTGCAAAGAAAAGCTTAGGAAAACTCTCAGTGCTTACCTACTCCATTCTCATCCACAGTTGTTGATCGCACTAGTACTCCTACCATGCAGTATAATTTTAAAAATCGAGCACCTCATTAATGTTATGTCACCAATATTTTCTTCTCCTTTACTTTCTCCACTTTATTTTGCTTGCATTTTTGCTAAGTATGTGAAAACTGAATCTCTGTAACTTTGGTGCTTTATCAAGGACAAACGCAATTGTCTGCCAGGGGCTTGCTGCACATTTAATATACAGAATGCAAGTGGCCCCTCTCCTACTTGAGTGATGGGCTTCAGAGCAAATGTAAGATGCACATTTAAATTCCAATGTCTGCTATTCCTGCTTTCTGCATTGAATGGGCCAATGATAAGCATATTGGTAAATAAATAAAATTTTAAACTCTTAGATCATTGATTCTGACAGATGCAACATGACTTTTTAATGGAAATGTGTAAAGCAGTAAACAATGTGAAAGTAGATTTTGCACGTGGACTTCCTCTCTATGTGATTCCACAAATGCAATCTGCTTTTTAGCTTCTCAAGTTGTTTTCTGTGTTAACCCAATGAAGTGGCATCGAGTTCGTTGGCCCAAATTAGGGCTTTTAAGATGTATGTGGTGACTTTGTGCAAGTGCTGAGACCCTTGGATAATCCCGGTTGGTGAGTTGGAAGCATTTTATGGCATGCTGTCATTAGACCAGTCATGCCTCCCTCAGCAAAGCATATCATTTGAAGTGGAAGTTGAACTGGACAAGCTAAAGTAAGGCAAAATGACAATTTATTCCCCTTAGCTGGGTCCAGGAAGCAAGAAGTGGGCAGAATGTTATAAACATTTGCAAATGGACCCTCCTTAGAGAGTTTAAGGGCTAGGTAAAAGGCCAGGAGGCTGAAGACCAAGAGAGAAAGTGTGTATCGTACTGGAAGTGGCAGTGACAGCCATGTTTGGTGAGCCCTGGCTTTATGAGGCCTAACATTCTTTTTCAGAGATGTGTGGATTGAAATCATTTTTCTGTTGTTATTGTGGTAAAATTCACATAACATAAAAACTCACCATTTTAAAGTGCACAATTCAGTGGCATTTAGTACTTTTCATTAGGCTGTGCATCCCTCACTTGTTCCAGAATATTTTCATCACCCCAAAAGGAAATCCCACATACAATAAGCAGTTACTCTCAATTTTCCCATCCCCTTAGCCCCAGACAACCACTAATCTACTTTCTGTCTCTATGGATTTGCTTATTTCATATAAATGAAAACATACAATATGTGACCTTTTGTGACTGCCTTTTTTCACTTACCATAATGCTTTCTAGGTTCACTCATGTTGTCACGTGGATCAATACTGCATTCCTTTTTGTGGCTAAATAGTATTCCATTGTCTGAATATACCACATTTTGGTTATTCATTCATCCCCTGATGGACATTTCTGTTATTTCCACCTTTTGACCATTGCAAATAGTGCTAAGAGCATTTGTGTGTAAGTTTTTGTTGGAACACCTGTTTCCAGTTCTTTTGAATGGAATCTTACAGTTCTTTTCAATTCTTTTAATTCTTCGACCTAAGAGTGGAATTGTTGTTGTATAGTAATTCTATGTTTAACTTATTGAGGAACTGCCAATCAAGTCTGAAAAATCATTCTCTTTTCAGACAAGATAACATAGTGCCATGTAAATAATATAGTTATATTCTCTCATGTTATGATTGGGACTATCATACCTCTGGCAACATCAGCAGGAGTGCTGAGAACTCCCATTTACGGAGCCGCCTAACGTGTCCAAGGGGCCAGACCACACCATTGATTTGAGCTGACATTATACTTAGAAACTTTCTCAGACCCCAGTGGCTACATTCATACAGACATACTCCTACAAAAAAAAAGCTTTTAACTTTCTGGAGACATCCTCAAATGATCTCATCCATAATCGTTTCACCTGGACTCACCTAAGGGGACCCAGACTGTCCAGGTTTAGTGAGCACACACCGATCTTTTCCAAAAGGCTCCTAAGACATTGTGCTATGATTTATAACATAAAGAATCCTAAGAGAATGCATTCCAAATGCATGTATGAAAGCGAAACACAGGATCAAGATGTGTCAGTTTCTAATGTGACATCTCAGTCCCAAGTGTCTCATAATCAGAACAACCCCCCCTCTCCCTGCCCCCAATGCCCACTCAGACCCTCCACAGCAGTTTTATCCATGCTGATCAGGTCCTGTGCACAAACACCAGCATAACAATTAGGATGTGTTTAAATGCTAAGTACATGGGAAAGTGAAGAATTATAATATACAAATTACAGATGCCAAATGGACAGCCATGGAGACTCAGGATTATAAGAAAACATTTCTACAAAAGCTTTTACTTGCTAGTCACTCTTAAAATCAGAGATACACAATCACATATGCTCATGGTGTCAGTGAAAAAGTGACAGTGATTATACCCTGAAAGTATTTGTTAAAAGCTTGTGTGTTCTCTCCACAGTCCCCACTGTACCTTGCTTTCTCAGTTGAGACTATTTAGGAAGCAGACATGTCCACACTGTCTTCTAAGGTGGTGTGGCAGTGCTGGCATCATGTGGGGAGAATGATAGATGTGTAATCGAACAGGTTTGAATCCTGGCTCTGCCACTTGCTGGGTGACCTTGGACTAAAGACTTCAGTGTCTATAATGTAGAGATAACAATAGCAGCTACTTCATTGGATCATAGTGAGATTCAGTGATTAACTGAATGAATATGGGAAAAATCATTTGACACTATGATTAGCACATAGTAAGTGCTCACCACTTTCTTTACATGGTCATCATCATTATCATTACTACTAATAAGTGTAAAATGTCTCATAGTCTTTGAAATGATAGATACATTACTTTCCCTTGTCTTGTAAGAAATGGGATGTTAAAGAGAGCTGCTAAATTAACTACCTGGAAAACAGCCAGTATGTGGCAAACTTGAAAGAAGAGATTCTGTTTGGTCCTACCATGTATTAGCTGTCTGTGCCTGGCCATGAGGAATTGTAAGTGTAGTCATCAAGAGCGTGGTTTTTGGAATACAGATGCCTGGGCTTCAATCCTGGCTCTATTGCGTACTAACTGCATGACACTGGGCAAGCTACCTACTATCTCTAAGTCTCAGATACCTCACCAATAAACTATGGAGTATTGTGAGGATCAAATGATTATTGTGTGTACGAAAATGTGTTTGAAAACCACAAGCTCTGCACGAATAGGTGTTTATTCTTCCTTGGGGTCCTTTAAAACATGAACTAGAACCTGCCTTATTTGGACCTGTTGGTAAATAGATATTGCCCTTCATTTTGGCCTTGATGTCCATAGGGATCTGCTAGGAACTGAACTGAATGTTCTAATTGCCCCTCAAAGGCATCTATTGGATATGAACGATCTTTCCTCCCCTCTGATCCCTGACAAGTTTTAAACCAGACACCCCAGGAACAAAGGTCAGGTTGCCAATGACACTTCACCAAGTCCTCCAGGAAAATAACATATCTTTAAAAAAGAGTTTTTCTTCAAAGGACTGACAGGTGGAGAGTTGAGTCGTGCGTTTTGATGGCAGTTCTTACTCTCTTTTTCTGAGCTTTGACTCTGCCCTGGAGGAAGGCTGTACTCACCTTGGTTTTCCTCTCAGGAGCTCCCCCTGAATGGAAAATAATCATCTGAAGTTGACATTGGACATTGGGATATTCCACAACTGTGTCTGAATTGGATGCAGTGTTTTGTACTTGGTGTCTGCATAAACATACGTGTTGTAGTACATTCTTTTTGAAGTTGGATATCAATAACATGGTTGGGATGTGGGGGCTGTATGATGTCCATTAGCCAGCTGACTGAATTTTTATTTCTCAGCTGCTGCTCTTGGCATCATATTGGGTTGTCAGAAAAGTCATGATGCATTTTTGTGACAAAAACCATAGAAAGACTACGTCATGACTTTTACGACAACCCAATAGATATCAAACCCAACCCTGGCCTTCCCCATATGACACTTATTGAATTGTCATTTTCAAGTCAGTCATCCAGGGCTGAGAGTGATGC